AAAAAAAAAAAAAAAAAAAAAAAAAAAAAAAAGTGAACTATAGGCCAATCTCCTTAATGAACATAGATGCAAAATGCTCGATAAGATACTGAAAAACAGAGTTAAGAAAATCATCAAGAAATAAATCATATACCATGATAAATCAGGATTTATCTCCAGGATGCAGGGAAGGTTCAATATATGAAAATCAATAAGTGTAATAAATCATTTCAACAGAGCTAAAGTCAAAAATCACACGATAATCTTAATAGATGCAGAGAAAGCATTTGACAAAGTCCAAACCCATTCATTGTGCAAACTTATTATACAACTATCAACTTCATTTGGTTTATTTTATGCTTTTTTAATCCATTAATTTATTTTAAAAATTTATTTCTGCTTTTTAAAATTGGAATATAATGTATGATTTTATCTTGCACAACATGGTGTTTTGTTTTGTTTTGGTGTTTGGGTATGGTTTGGTTTGGTTTCCAGTCCAGTGTTCAAACTCAGGACCTTATATTTGGAAGGTAGTTGACTTGACACTGAATTAAATCCCTGGCCCCCAACATAATATTTTGAAGTTCAGATACCTCATAAAATCATTAGAATTACCTATTTTTTTCAGTTAATTTCCATTTGTAGCTATCATTTCTCAGGGTAATAGGACCTAAAATTCATTCTCATTGCATTTTTCAAAAATATGTCATCATTAACTGTAGTCATCTTGCTGTACATTTTGTCTCTCGAAACGTATTTCTTCTTACTGTAATTACCTGCTCCATGACTAACATTTCTCTAACATATCCCCTCAAACATCCCAGGCTCTAACAATCACCATTCTACTCTCAATTTTTATGATATCCATTAAGCACAACTTATCTTGAAAATAAGTGTTCATAAGATACCTTAAACATCAATAGATAAATAGGTTGGAGTAGTTCCAAGGCAAAAAGAAATAGAAAAAATAGAAAAATTTATAACATTTTAGTAAAGGACATGGATAACAACTAAAAAAATGGCAAGAGTATTGTTTTTTGGATAATTATATAAAACATCACAGAGATATAAGTTTTTGTCAAATTGCTTTATAAATTTAATGCCAACTGGTATTTTCTTATATGTTACAAGCACATTTTTTAGTACATGTAAAGAATCAATGGATAAAGAATATTTTATTTAATAGAAAATAAGAAATTGGAATGCTGTCTTTATCAAATAACAAGATATATCATAATGCTAAGGTAGTTCAAATGACAGGCTACTGAATCATAGAAGAAATTAGTATCAGCTTGACTCTCATCTACATACAGATATTATTCTGGAAAGAAACATTGAATATTTTATTGATGATTATGTGGCATTTCTTGAAAAGGATAATGCTATTCAATAAGTAGTGCTGAAAGTATCACTACTCTAAATGTGAAATAAAACACAAAATTTGGTTATAGCATCCTTAAATATCATTGAAAAGTATCAAAGGTGTAATTAACCATGAAAGATAAATTAATTAAAAATTTAGGCAAAAAATATAGGAAGATAACCATGATGTTAGCGAGTAAATCACACATGTGTACAGACATACACACACTCACACACACACACAAATAAATAGTGTATATCCATGCATGGTAGCATATATAATTCTCCAACCCAAAGAAGAGAATCTCCACAAGTTTGAGGCTGCCCAGGCCAAAGTGAAACCAAGACCACTTTGAACTACATAGTGAAACCTTGTGGCAAATCAATGAATGAATGAACAAATGAATGAATGAATGGGTGCCTAGATAACTTATATTTCTTGGCATCATGATGAACAAAAGAACATGAGATTAAATCATAGAGAAGTGAAAATGATGCAAAGGATGTATTAAACATCAGAAAAATGAGGCTGCTCCCAGGTGACGTGGCATTGCATTGTACAGTAAACATTTTACAAACAGTGTTACATTGTGAAACAGCAAAACCTTTTGTAGTACAGTAAATGCAACAAGCAGGAACAAAGTTGTGAACTGTTATTATCAAGGATTAGATACTGTACATACTAGCATATTTTTAATGCAAACTGATAGTGTAGTAGTTTGTTTATACCACTATCCCCACAATGTCACTGTTTGTTACCATAACTAATATGATTAGGTGAGAAAGTTCTTAATTCCTTTAGAATTTATGAGCCCACACTTTAACATAAATTCCTATCTATCTTACGTCCAAGTGTTGTTTTTAGTGCATGATAAAATATGAACTAAATCAAATTTATGCTACGTTTAGTCATAAGCAAGCAAACTTAGCAAGTTGAAATGAATTATCAAAGGACAAACTATCTTAGTCATCTTCCCACCACTGGGGCACAATACCCAACACCCACATTTAACAGGACAGGTTTATTTTGGTTCACAGTCTGTGGAGGATTCAGTCCACAGTCATCTGGGTTGATAGTAGGAAGGGCATGGTGGAAGGTCCTGACAGAGGACAGCTTCTCACATAATGGTGGCCAAGAAGTAGAGAGTGAAGGGAGGAGCCAGGGAGAGCGATATACCCTTCCAGGTCAAATCCAATGAACAGACACTTCCAACCAGACCTAATCTCCTAAAAGCACATTCCATTCCAGACTCTTCATTTGATTAATCCACTCTTGATTACAGCACCCTCATGATCCACTTATCTTCCAAAAGCCCAATCTCTAAACATACAACTCTGTGGGGGGAAACTTTAAGACTAAACCATAACACATAGCTATGGTAAGGCACAGGCCATATTTAAACCCAAATTGTCTAATTTCACAATTTTCATGCTTTAACATTCCATCTCCGGTCTGGAGTATTCAAAGCCATTGGTGAGTTTTTGCACATCATCCAGTGTTTCTTTCTCTTTCTCTTCTTCCAGTAGTGTATGCATGTGCCATATCAATGGAAAGATGTTATTCTAGAGATGAGTTTCCCCAAAGCCCTCAGCATATCCTTGTTCCTCAGGCTGTATATAAAGGGGTTCATCATGGGGGTCACTACAGTGTACATCACTGAGGCTATTGCACTCTTCCGCGAGGAGTTAGTGGCAGCAGAACTGAGGTACACCCCAAAACCTGTCCCATAGTACAAGGAAATGACTATTAAATGTGACCCACAGAAGGAGAAAGTTTTATACTTTCCACCTGGTGATGGAATTTTTAGAACAGAGGAGACAATTTGAGTGTAAGAAAAAAATATCCCAGAGAGAGGAACAACACCCAAAAGGCCTGCCACCAAATATACCAGGATGTTATTGATGAGGATATTAGAACAGGCAAGCTTGAGAATATGATCTAGTTCACAGAAAAAGTGGGGAATCTCCAGGTTTGTGCAGAATGACAGCCGCAGTGCCATGGAGGTGTGTAGCAGGGCAACCAGGGCACTGATGAGGAAGGAAAGCAGAACCAGAAGCCAACAGAGTTGGGGGTTCATGATGACATTGTACCTCAAAGGATGACAGATGGCCACAAAGCGGTCATAGGCCATCACAGTCAGAAGCATGTCATCCATATATCCAAAGATGATAAAAAGAGACATTTGTGTCAAGCAGCTCACATAGGCTATGACTGTGCTCTGGAGGGAGAGGTTCACAATCATCTTTGGTACTGTGGTAGAAATCAAACAGATATCCACAAAGGACAGATTGGAGAGAAAGAAGTACATGGGAGTGTGCAGGTGAGAGTCAGAACTTACAGCGAGGATGATGAGCAGGTTCCCAAGCACTGTGACCAGGTACATGGAGAGAAAGAGTCCAAAGAGTACAGGCTGCAGGTTTGGATCATCTGACAATCCCAGGAGGATAAATTTTTCAGTATCTGAGATATTTTCTAGCTCCATGTTATTGATGGTTCTGGTAGAAGAAGAAATGATAAGAAACCAAACTCTAGAGCAACCATCAAAATGTTGCCTACATTGTTTTTCTCTCATTGAGTTTATTGTTACGTTTTAGGTATATAGTACAGTTACAGTCATTATTGGGATCTTGTACATTTACATGGCACGTCTTGGTTCTCATTATTTCCCTTGTCCCTGCCCTCCCTTCACCTGCTCCTCCCATCCCCATTTACAAACACTTTATTTCTATTTTTTTCATTTTCTCATATTTTTTTCTTTTCCCTTATTACCTTTCCACTACCCTTCCCACTTCCCCTACACCTTTAGCCCTTTCTTCCTATTTCCCATTACGTTTTGAAACTGTGAAGGAAAGAGTTAAAAATGAGAGTGAAAGTAGGTATTCACTGAAATGACCTTGGCTGCTTAGAGGCTGTCTCCAGCAGAATGAGTATATAGATGTAACTATCAACACCCAAAGGACTGACAATTTTTAGGCTCTACCAAGGATGCAAATGAGCCCTTCCGACCAGATAGACTTATTAGCACTAACTAATTTCTGTCAAAACACTGTTCTTGGACACTGAAAAACTAAAGGCAGTGAAACATTTTCTCTCTCACCTGCTGAAGGCTCTATCTCATGCAAGATCCCTCTGTAGAGGACTTCCCTTCATCTTAAGTGCTGTATCCTGTCTCTCTATGTGGTAATATATGATTGGAGTATGCTTGTATTTGTGGTACATTCATAATAAACTTACTTTCATCTCTTTAAATGTAATTATGTAGCTCTTTTCTCTCCACGCAGAGTGAAACATAAAACTTCTGTGGCTACCACATATATGTATCAACTCTTTGCTGCCACAGAAACCAAAACAGGCAGATTTACTCCTGACTATTTTTCTCCCCTCATTTTTTTCCCTTGCATAGCATTTCTACCCACCAGCATTTCTTTTCCCATTCACACACCATTCTCATTTATTCTATATTTATTTTTGGAATTTTTAGTTGACCTTTGATCGTTATACATTTCTATGTGGTACAGTGTTATATTTGGATACATGTATACAGTGTGTAATGATCAAACTAGGATAATCAGACATATATGCCTTTTGCATCCATCATTCATTTTTGGAGAAAGTATTCAAAAGCCTCTTTTCTAGTTATTTTGAAATGCATAATTGCTGCTGAATATATTATCGTGTTTTTATTTTGCATCATTTTAAATATATTTATCTGTGGAGAATAAAATAGAAAGGAAAGGTAGCATTTGAAAAGGATTGTAACACTAAATCAAATAATAAAATGTTACGAAGAGAAATGGGCTATTTTTCCTCATTACTTCTATGTTCCAATCCATGATCCATCGCCCTCATTGCAGTGGGCATGTGTGGTGCATTACAGCAGGAGCGTGCAGCACAGCACAGCTCACCTCACAGACAGGAAATGACAGGTAAAGACAGGAAGAAACCAGATCCCAAAATGGCATCATAAAACATGTTCCCCAATTCCTCTATAATTCTCCACCTATGATTCCACCACTTCCAAGTAGCAGCAAGCTGGAGACCGACTTCAAAAGTGGAGCCTTTTGGGGCTTCCCAGAACCAAGCTATGCTAATCCTTCTTCCCTTAAGATGTCTTTAGACACCTGTACTAGAATAAATTTTTTAAGTTGCACAGCTTAGGAAAACACAGGTTTTAGAGCGAAATATTGCCTGTTTCTTGTCTGTGCTTAAATAATTTTTGCATCATATTCATTCCTTCACATGAACCATTGTCATATGGCCTACAACACATGAACTATTTATCATCTATTGCTTTACAAAAGTTCATCAACATCTAGTATGCAAGCTTGATTCAATTTAGGCTTTTATTATTTTGCAGGTCTGATTAATTATTTTTATGTTCAAGTGCATATTGTCTGTCTTGCTACTTTTTATCTTAAGTTCATTGGTATTGTTTATATATACAGTACAGTGACATTCATCATTGAGATCTTATACCTTTACATGACAGATCTTGGTTCTCATTTTTGCCCCATACCCCTGCCCTCCCTTCACCCCTCCACCCTCCCCTATTTACAAAGACTTTGTTTCTATTTTTCCTTTTCTCATACTTTTTCTTGTACTTTATTTCCTTTCCCCTACTTTTAATAATTATTGCCTGAATCCACTAATTTAATTTTTGTTGAGTAACAAAATTTTAACCTTCTGAATTATTTTTTACTTGATTGTTTACTGTCTGAAATACTTCCGTGATGTAATCAAATAGGATGGCATCCTAAAGTGAATTTCTTATAAGAACACTCAATGGGTCTGGGATGTAGCTTAGTGCATTGGTTAAGTAGGCAGTTAGCCAGAAATGACGTGTATCTTTGGAAATGTTAGAAGAATATAAAGAAAAAAAATTAAGAAAGGCTATGGTCTATGTTTCCTGTTTGCAGTTCTCAGACATCCCAATAGAAGCACATGAAATGCTCTTTGTACATTCCCTTTCCCACCCAGTCTTATAACTGTAATTTTACACAGTTACACTATAAAGACACCCGCAAGTTAGATAGTGGTCCCCTTGACAGTCCAACTAAGCTTCATGTGCATGCATTTGTTTGTAGTTGTGACCCCATCCATGGCCACCATGCTGGCTCTAATTCAATTTGAGTTCAACAACACTCCTTCTTGATGTGAAGGTTGAAACTTAAAATTGGGGGAAAGAATCCCGTTTTATTTATTACACCTCTGAGCACTCCTCCAAGATCTATGGAAAAAAATGCAATACCATTACTGAAGCTCACTGCAGTTAGTTTCTCTGTCTCTACCCCTTGTCACTTCTTAAGGATGTATTTTCATTACTGAGTATTTATTGCCCTCTATAACTCTGAAAGCCTACAACTCTCCCTACTGTTCATCCTCTCTCACAAGTTAGACTTCTTTGGAGTGCACTGAGTGTCCTTCAATAAACATTCTTGGTAAACACCACCACTTTCTGAGTCTGAGTCCCTGTCTGTGGATCTCCTCTCAAACCTACCTGGGAAAAAGACAAGAGACAAGATTACCAGAAAACACAGAGAAGTACCCAACCCAGGATGATACTGACTTGTATTTAACTACAGTACAACACTTGCTTGGATTGTGCAAAGCCCTGAGTCAGTACTTAGTACCTTGAAATAAAAATATATGAAGTTATCATATATCAATCTAAAATACATAATAAAAATTTTAGTATCACTCAATGATGAACACTGTATCATCAAAAAGTCCTGGATTTTAAATGAATTCCATATATTTCAATTCATTACAGTTTACATTGCCAAATCATTCTCTCCTTTGTAGTTAGTACTACTACTTCCCATTATATCTCCTTCCCCTAGAGCAGTGATGGTGAATCTTTTAGAGATGATACCCAAGCTGCAACCTAAAACCCACACATTTATCACAAAATGCCAGCACTGCAATTAAAAGTGAATACTTTCAATTTCTTGCCTTGCCTATTTGATTTGCTCTGTTGGGCTTCATGGTGTTGTTGCCTTCATTGTCTTTTTCTAGGATCTTGTTTAAAATTACTTGTAGTGCTGGTTTGGTATTCATGTAGTTAAAAGGAGAAGGTGAAAAAGTAAAAAGAGTCAACAAAAGGCCAATAACGTGTCAATAATAAGTCAGTACATATTAATTATAATGAGCAATGTCAATGGCCTCAATTCACCAATCAAGAAAAATAGATTGGCAAAATGGAATAAAAAGCAAAATCCAACAATATGTTGTATACAAGAAACACACCTAGTGCAAAAAGAAGCCCATAGACTGAAAGTGAAAAGAAAGAAAACAATTCTCCATGTGACAGGAGCCCAGAAAAAAGCAGGGTAGCAATCTTATTTTCAGACAAAGTAAATTTCAAACCAAAAGTAATTCTAGTATTATGGATGTAGGATGGTACTGTATCATACCTTTATGAATGTAAAATGTCTTGTACCTGCTTTATGATACATAGTAGGGACTGTGCTTTATCAGAGCTACATTTAATGATATTACTCTAGAATGTTCTCTTTCCAGATGATGATTAAGATGCTAATAAAAAAAAATGGTGCCAGGTACCACAACAGCAACAGAACTTTGCTGTTTTCTGGATATTATTCTTTTCTTTGTTTTTTTGTTTTGTTTTGTTTTGTTTTAATGGAAAGTGCTGAATATCTATAATTTTTTTCAGATGACTGCAGAACCTGGAAAAGTTGTTGCTGCTATCGATGCATAACATACTGCTATTATTAGTCTTTTTATATAAAT